TTTCCTGTGTCAGCCTAGTCTAAAATCGGGCTGAATATTTTTTTAATTCAAAGTACTTATCTTTAGTTAACGCAAAAACGCAAAAAATGTATGGACAATACCGAGATGAACAGGGATAGAGTCGTATTAATATCACTTGTCCATCATGCCAACTTCTAAATGCTACTTAAAGAAGAAATACTGAGATAATAGGAAACATTATGGTGCAACTTGAGAAGAATGGTTTTGCATCGGTGACTCCAGATAAGGTTTCGTCGGGAAACCAACAAACACTTTTGTTTGTCAAAGCTGATTTTATCTTCTACAAGATTTTGCCTGATTTAAATGTCAGCAGTTTTATCTATAAACAAGCAACTGTAAATAATTGTGATCATCTCGGTGGCGAGGCTACTTAGTTTGTCAAACGGACATACGAGACTTGTAAATACCATGCTCTTAAATGCGAATGACACAATTATAGCACTTTGGCGCGTGATATCATGACGTTCATTATTTTTCATTCAGAACTTGTCCAGCCTATCACCGAGATCTCGGACAGTCAGCTGACATACATACATTTGTGAGTCACGCTTGTAATCATAAACAAGGTCAAGTAGGTCATATACATCTCAGTGTATTAGCGGTGACAAGGTGACAGTCGTCCAAGGCTTGCCAGAATAAGTGGGTTCAAATCCCAGATTGAACCTGATAAAGTTTGTCAGAACCATACCCGCTCTCGCTGATTTAACCAAAGGGAAAACGCCCATGACCTTCAACACTTCGGGCTTTCCCCACATTATTCTACATCCTCCCCAGTGAAATACTCCCGTTAAACCAAACGCACTCACTTATCGTATTAGCGGTGTCGTCGCGCAAAGAAAGAACCATCCACACGCATGGTGAATAAAAATAACAGCAGGGTAAAACATTGTTACTATTACGACCCATCTCAGTAAACCTATATCTATGTCATCTCAGGACATCCCAGGTCAAGTCAGAGCGATCTTTCGCAAAGTATGAACGACCTACGAAATGAGTAACAATCGACATTAGCCAATCAGAAAGCAGCTTTCTTGAGCTGTACGACACTTTTTAAAATCGCGACTTTCATTCGAGATTACGTTTTGAAAAATATTTTGACAAAATTCTCGATTCAAACTTTGTAATCTGAACAAAAGAAAATTCTGGAATGTATGATAGATGGCCCAGATTGTATGTCAGTAAATCCCACGTGCTATGGACAGCCTCCTCCCATCGAAGCGAGAGACAGACAATGATTTTGACGATAAGCTTGTTGTCTCGCATTCGGAATCAGTCGTGCAGTCTGTTGTTCCGAATGCCCAATATTATCGAGGTTACATGATTACAAAACACATTCGGACATGTTCGTGGTCTCGACCGATTTGTCGGATGAAATGTCTCTCTGACGTGACCTGTAATGGGATGTCGAATTAGATTGTATTGCCGCTAAATGAGAAAAATAAGTGCTATAGTGAACATTGCTTTGTCGGCAACAAGCAATATTTAGCTGTACCACGGTGGCTTGTAAATGATGGAATCCATGCCAAACAAGTGGACGACAGCATGAGCAACAATCCACGCCGTCAGGGTACAATGACACAGGTCACAGATTTAACCAGTCGATCGACTGTCAGACACTTTGGGCCTATGTCCTGCTCCGGAACCCCACAAAAAAAGGTCAAAACCTGGACTATTGTTTTGAGAATGACGACATGGTTAAATATTTCAGCAGGGTCAAAGTCATACTAGTTTATATAACGGTGGCTATTGTTTTAATTTCCTGACTGTCTGACAGTCAAACATGCCACCCGGACTTTGTTGAAAGTGTCAAAGTTCTCGCATACGGCGGGAACACAGATTTCGTGTATGATATCGCGTGGTTCTTGACGAGAATATTTGTGTGAGACCATACAGCCATATAGAAATGAGTGACATTTATTAAACTATTAAATTACTTGTATATTCTAAGTTAGCAGGGGCGGACTATTTGAATACTGGCCTCAGGCTTTTCCTAAGAAACTACACTCCTCCCGGGACATGCTTAAAGTGCTGGAATTAATGTGATCAGATAAATAAAAACTACAAAACCATTTCCATAATCACCAGAAATCTCCATTGTAGGACTCTGACTATATCATAAGTATGTGTTCATGAATCACCATTAAAAAGTGATGATAACAGGTGATCGCGAAAATGGAGAGCGTATCCTGCGGTGGAACCCATAACAAACACACGCAAAGGCAAGTAAATTTCTCACCTAAGAATAAAATGGAACATATGGTACAAATCAAATAGGGAATTAAAGTATTACATAGTCCGATTCCTTTCACAGAAAATGAGTGTGTGTTTTGAAGCAGTGAGCTAAGGAAAATCACCTTTTTTAACGAACTGAGATACATGGTGTAAGTGTGTGGTACTGTGAACTAACAGACTAATATTGTCGTTGTGAGGTGCACGCTGAAGACAAATGTTAGCCATGATGTAACACTGTGTAACCTGCAGTCATCTCCCATGTTGAAGAATAAAGTTAGCCATGATATAACACACTGTAACATCCCACAAGTTGAAGACTAAAGCTAGCCATGATGTAACACCGTGTAACCTGCAGTCATCCACCATGTTGAAGACTAAAGTTAGCCATGATATAATACACTGTAACATCCCATATGTTGAAGACTAAAGCTAGCCATGATGTAACACTGTGTAACCTGCAGTCATCCCACATGTTGGATACTAAAGTTAGCCATGATGTAACACTGTGTAACCTGCAGTCATCTCACATGTTGAAGACTAAAGTTAGCCATGATGTAACACTGTGTAACCTGCAGCCATCAAACATGTTGAAGACTAACGTTAGCCATGATATTACACCCTGTAACATCCCACATGTTTTAGACTAAAGTTAGCCATGACGTAACACTGTGTAACCTGCAGTCATCACACATGTTGAAGACTAAAGTTAGCCATGATATAACACCCTGTAACATCCCACATGTTTTAGACTAAAGCTAGCCGTGATGTAACACTGTAACCTGCAGTCATCCCACACGCTGAAGACTAAAGTTAGCTATGATGTAACATTCTGTAACCTGCATTCATCCCACATGTTGAAGACTAAAGTTAGCTATGATGTAACACTGTGTAACCTACAGTCATCCCAAATGTTGAAGACTAAAGTTAGCCATGACGTAACACTGTGTGACCTGGAGTCATCCCACATGTTGAAGACTAAAGTTAGCCATGATATAACACTGTGTAACCTGCAGTCATCCCACATGGTGCGGGGCCAGGGTACTTCCGCGTTGTACGTCACATACATTACAGTACCGTGTATTCATTTACTATAGACGTATTATGTCGGCGCTCGGCAAATATTTATATTGTACAGAAAAGCTGACTCCTGTTGCCAGAGAAAATCACTGACCGACAAAACTGACGTAAATCTTTACACATGGCAATTGCATGGAATTACACATGGAAAAACACGGCTGTTGCTTTTTGTATTTAGTTAGGCTTCGCCATTAGAGAAAGTGTGCTGGGAGCTCATAAAACAAAATCAACACTGTATTATAAAGGGGCTCGATTCTTCATCCATACATGGAAGTCCCACTGGAGGGAGATGGGGATGACCTTATTTTGGAGCATTAGATATCACTTTGGGTCGTTATCAATAAGCGCCAACGTCAAGGACCTATTCGATTTGTTTAATCCCTGATACGACCTCCGCCTACAGTACTGTTCTATCTACAAAGATTATCACTGAGTGAGTGAGTATAGTTTTACGCCGCTTTTAGCAATATTCAAACAATATGACGGCGGAGGACACAAGCGGGTCTTCACACGTTGCACCCACATAGGGAATCGAACCCGTGTTTTCGGTGTGTCGAGCGAACGCTTAAACCATTCGGCTACCCAACCGCTGCTGGGCTATCACTATTCACACTACAACCACTACTGCCAATACGTAGCACAGTCACACAGTCACCAGAAATAGTCTATGAAATCTTTTATTACAAAATACATTTCTCTCCACTAAAATTAATAACAAAACGATTCCAGATGCTGTTTTCATGTGGAATGGAGATCGCAAGACTTGGTTTTATATAAATCTAGATTGGTTTTATTTTCATAAAATACATATATTCCATTCAAAATTCCCATATCACGACAGCAGCCACCACGATTGCTTCAACACAACAGCGACATCTACCACAACGACTACTACCACTCGGTAATTGACTCTGCTTGACGTTTTTTCTTTACTCAAACATATAAAAGTCAGAAGGAATGGGTGCATAGTCAGAAAGAAATGGGAACATGAGTGGGTTTTAGTGCAACCATAGAGGTTTGGATAGTTACTGTCATTAAACAATATATCACGTGACTAACCACGGGTCCGGGTAGTCCTGTGGGTACCCGGATCCTACTCAGTACCCACCCGACCCGAGAACCCAACCCGTCCCAGTCCTACTCCATACTACGCTTAGAGCTTGTGTTGCATCAACTATTTATCCGACCTGACGATACGGATTGTTTACATTGACTTCTTAAATGCATTCTCTGCCTGAAGTCTGCGACGCCTGCATATACACACATATACCGTACCTGGAAGACAGGACGTGCATTATTTACCGTATCTCCGGGATACAACACGTGTTTAGTGCTCATGCTTTCGCCATGCGCAGGCACAGGTCAACTCGGGTCAACAGTAATTTCAATCTGTGCATTATTCGACACGAACGTCTGTTCGACACATGTACCCGTCTGAGATGCTCGCATAGCCCAAAAGGTCACGACCGTGTTTTAAAGTCCGCCTGTACACCACTTGCCGTGTTGACAGAAACCGCGGGTAATTGACAGCAGGCTTCAATCGCTCGTACACACGGCTCTGTGCATGAATGAAGCAGTGTTCTCACCTGCCTAGCTACAGTCAGACTCAGCAGCATCCTCTCACATCATCTACAAAAGGTCGTGTTTAATATGGCATCTTCCCAACTTACCGGTCAGCGTGGAGCAGACGACCCAATTCCAAGCAGTGGTACTCAGTCTATCCCGAGTCAATTTCTCCCCGACCATAATGAACGACCGGTCGTGCAGTTGCGATCTCCCTGTATATTCTCTGAGTCACTGTGTGGACTGGCCTCCTAGTCCTCGGTCTGTTCTCTCAAGTTACAAAACTAGCATGCGCCATACTGTTCCCTCTGGCATCAGAGAATGGACTGGTCCGGGGTAATGTCCATATTACAATATTTTCATTGATTGTGTCGGTCTCCAACACATGTCGGACTTAGCCTATTAATAGGATCAGCATCAGTCACAAGACTTGGCACAGTCATACATTAACAGCAATAGGCGGACTGCGCGGCACGCTCAGAAAGCTAACTTACATCAACTGTGCACCGTCTTTTGGTAATCTTAGAAACGTTTCCGGACAGACTACCCTAACCAAGACATGTTATATACAAGCTCTTCAAACATACATTTTACAGGAAATATTAGGCACAGTCGAGTGTCGATGCGTTCACGTGGTTGTTTTCGTACTGCCCCTATTTAGAGTTAAATAAAATTCGGTATAGATTGATGTAAACATAAAACGATAAAAATATACAAGTTAGTGAAGTTCAGTTACTTGATTGTTTGATGGAGGTAAAAAGGACGTTGTGTATTTCCTTCTAGTGTTTGATGTACTTTAAACCGGATATCATTCATAATAAATTGGGGAAACCCGTTTACATATTAATCTTTTAATCTGTAAAGTGTATGTTTGAATGAAATGACTCATTTAACGTAATGGTTTGAAATTTAAACGCTCAGAGGCTGGGGTATTTGCAATCGTTGCAGTATGGTATGATCAATTAAAATACGTTTGAGTTTTAGAATGGAAAAGAATGGGGTATTGTCTTCACACTGAGACACTCCTGCCTGGAGCTCGTTACGCGAGCTATCTTGCTGCTTTCTATCAATAATTTTACAAGAAAATGACTAATATTCATGTCAAAATGTTCTGTAGAGACTTTATGGAAACAATATAAGCAAATTAATGTTTTTTGTTCCTTTTCCTATTTATTTGTTCACTGAGAAATGTTCATTTCTAAAACTTGGTAAAGGTTTGTGCAAAGAGTAATAGTATTGCCCTTTTTCTTTATCGAACTGCACGCTTAAGGCCTGGTCCGGTCTATAATATACCTAAACAACTATCTGATTTGTGTTATTTTAAAAAAAAATATAAAAAATAAAGGAAATAAATTAAATATTGTTTTTTAATTTGCACTTTTAATGCGGGCATAGTCCAAATTTATCTCGCCAACTATAAGATAACACAGGCACTGTCCACATTTATCTCGCCCGTTAGAAGATAACACAGGCACTGTCCACATTTATCTCGCCCACAAGAAGACAACACAGGCATAGGACACATTTATCTCGCCCACAAGAAGACAACACAGGCATAGTACACATTTATCTCGCCCACAAGAAGACAACACAGGCATAGTACACATTTATCTCGCCCACAAGAAGACAACACAGGCATAGTACACATTTATCTCGCCCACAAGAAGACAACACAGGCATAGTACACATTTATCTCGCCAACTATACGATAACCCAGGCGCAATCCACATTTATCTCGCCCACTATATCACAACACAGGTACTGTCCACATTTATCTCGCCCATTAGAAGATAACTCAGGCACTGTCAACATTTATCTCGCCAACTATAAGATAAGACAGGCACTGTCCACATCTATCTCGCAGAGTATAAGATAACACGGGCACTGTCCATATTTTTCCCGCACACTATATGATTAAACAGGCACTGTCCACATTTATCTCGCCCACTAGAAGATAACTCGGCACTGTCAACATTTTTCCCGCACACGAAATGATAACACGGGCACTGTCCACATTTATCTCGCCCACTAGAAGATAGCTCAGGCACTGTCAACATTTTTCCCGCACACGAAATGATAACACAGGCACTGTCCACATTTATCTCGCCGAGTATAAGATAACACAGGCACTGTCCACATTTATCTCGCCAGCTATAAGATTACACAGGCATAGTACACATTTATCTCGCCAACTATAAGATAACCCAGGCGCAGTCCACATTTATCTCGCCCACTATATCACAACACAGGCACTGTCCACATTTATCTCGCCTACTAGAAGGTAACACAGGCACTGTCCACATTTATCTCGCCAGCTATAAGATTACACAGGCATAGTACACATCTATCTCGCCGAGTATAAGATAACACAGGCAATGTCCACATTTATGTCGCGAACTATAAGATAACACAGGCATAGTACACATTTATCTCGCCAACTATAAGATAACCCAGGCGCAGTCCACATTTATCTCGCCCACTATATCACAACACAGGCACTGTCCACATTTATCTCGCCTACTAGAAAGGTAACACAGGCACTGTCCACATTTATCTCGCCAGCTATAAGATTACACAGGCATAGTACACATCTATCTCGCCGAGTATAAGATAACACAGGCACTGTCCACATTTATGTCGCGAACTATAAGATAACACAGGCATAGTACACATTTATCTCGCCAACTATAAGATAACCCAGGCGCAGTCCACATTTATCTCGCCCACTATATCACAACACAGGCACTGTCCACATTTATCTCGCCAGCTATAAGATTACACAGGCACAGTACACATCTATCTCGCAGAGTATAAGATAACACGGGCACTGTCCATATTTTTCCCGCACACTATATGATTACACAGGCACTGTCCACATTTATCTCGCCCACTAGAAGATAGCTCAGGCACTGTCAACATTTTTCCCGCACACGAAATGATAACACAGGCACTGTCCACATTTATCTAGCCGAGTATAAGATAACACAGGCAATGTCCACATTTATGTCGCCAACTATAAGATAACCCAGGCGCAGTCCACTTTAATCTCGCCCACTATATCACAACACAGGCACTGTCCACATTTATCTCGCCTACTAGAAGGTAACACAGGCACTGTCCACATTTATCTCGCCAGCTATAAGATTACACAGGCATAGTACACATTTATTTCGCACACTATAAGATAACTCAGGCACTGTCCACATTTATCTCACTCACTATACGAAAACACATGTATAGTCCACATTTATCTCGCTCACTATAACATAACACATGCATAGTCCTCATTTATCTCGCTCACTATACGATCACACAGGCACACTCCTAATACACGCAGGTATTAACAGTATTACCGGTCTGTGTTGGAATTTATTGACAGCATTGCCTAAGTGTAGGATTGTATTAACAGTATTGACAGCGTGATTAGGATGGTATCAACAGTATTGCCGGTCTGTGTTGGGTGGTATTAACATTATTGTTTGTCTGTTTAGGATGATATTTACAGAATTGCCAGTATTTGTAGGATGATATTAACAGCCTTGTCTGTCTGTGTTGGATGGTATTAACAATATTGGCAGTGCTGTCTACGATGGTATTTAAAGTAGTGCCAGTGTTTGTAGGAAGGTATTGACAATATTGCCAATCAAGTTGGATGGTATTTACAGTATTGCCAGTTTTGCCAGTTTGTAGAAGTGAGTGAGTATGGTTTTATACCGCTTTTAACAATATTCAAGCAACATCATGGCGGGGGACACCGGAAATGGGCTTCACACATTGTACCCATGTCGGGAATCGAACCCGGGTCTTCGGCGTGACGAGCGAACGCTTTAACCACTAGGCTACCGCCCCAGTCTTTGTAGGAAGGTATTCACCATATTGCCGGTCTGTGTAGGGCGGTATAAACAGTATTGACGGTCTGTGTTGGGTGGTATTACCAGTATTTCTGGTCTGATAGGATGATATTTAGAGTATTGCCAGTGTGTAACGGATGGTATTTACAGTAATGCCAGTGTGTAAAGGATGATATGTACAGTATTGCTTGTGTGTAAAGGATGATATTTACAGTATTGCCAGTGTGTAAAGGATGATATTGACAGTATTGCTAGTGTGTAAAGGATGGTATTGCCAGTATTGCCAGCGTGTAAAGGATTGTATTTACAGTATTGCTAGTGTGTAGAGGATGGTATTGACAGTATTGCCAGTGTGTAAAGGATGGTAATTACAGTAATGCCAGTGTGTAAAGGATGATATTGCCAGTATTGCTAGTGTGTAAAGGATGATATTTACAGTACCGCCAGTGTGTAAAGGATGATATTAACAGTATTGTCAGTGTGTAAAGGATGGTATTTACAGTACTGCCAGTGTGTAAAGGATGGTATTGACAGTATTGACAGTGTGTAAAGGATGGTATTTACAGTATTGCCAGTGTGTAAAGGATGGTATTTACAGTATTGCCAGTGTGTAAAGGATGATGTTTACCGTATTGCCAGTGTGTAAAGCATGGTATTTACAGTATTGCCAGTGTGTAAAGGATGATGTTTACCGTATTGCCAGTGTGTAAAGCATGGTATTTACAGTATTGCCAGTGTGTAAAGGATGATGTTTACCGTATTGCCAGTGTGTAAAGGATGGTATTTACAGTATTGCCAGTGTGGAAAGGATGATGTTAACAGTATTGCCAGTGTGTAAAGGATGATGTTTACCGTGTTGCCAGTGTGTAAAGGATGGTACTTGCAGTATTGCCAGTGTGTAAAGGAAGGTATTTACAGTATTGCCAGTGTTGCCAGTGTGTTTAGAATAGTATCAACAATATCGACAGTCTTTGTTGGGCGGTACTAACAATATCGCCGGTCTGTGTATGGTGGTATTAACATTATTGTCGGTCTGTGTAGGATGGTACTGACAATATTGCAGTTCTGTGTTGGGTGGTATTAACATTTTTGTCGGTCTGTGTAGGATGGTACTGACAATATCGCCGGTCTGTGTTGGGTGGTATTAACATTATTGTCGGTCTGTGTACGATGGTACTGACAATATCGCCTGTCTGTGTTGGGTGGTGTTAACATTATTGTCGGTCTGTGTAGGGTGGTATTGACAATATTGTCGGTCTGTGTAGGGTGGTATTGACAATATTGCCGGTCTGTGTACGATGGTACTGACACTATTGCCGGTCTCTGTATGGTGGTACAAACATTATTGTCGGTCTGTGTAGGATGGTAGTGACAATATCGCCGGTCTGTGTTGGGTGGTATTAACATTATTGTCAGTCTGTGTGTGATGGTACTGACAATATTGCCGGTCTGTGTTGGGTGGTACTGACACTAACAATCAATTGTCCCGGCTCATTACTCTCAATCACCCATCATGTAGTTGTTATATATACCTGTACTTACTTTTCGGGTGGTGGGGTAGCCTAGTGGCAAAAGCGTTCGCTCGTCACGCCGAAGACTC